CCAAGGGCAGCTCTGTGCTCCAAGGAAATGTATGGAATATAACCCCAGGCAAATGGAAAGGAAAGGTTAGTAATTATTGCCAGTTAATTCTGCCACACCTGGAGCCACCTCCTTGCTGAGGTGTGAAGAGCTGTGGGACATGAACAGTTAATGTCATCTCTCCTGCCCTCACCATGCACATATTCCCACAAGCTCTGAGGCAGTTTCAATTTCATTAACCATGAGGAGGCACCGAGGTCTCTGGATGCACCTTCTGAAGAAGGTGGCTTCCAGGGAAACTGCAGGCAACCATCTCCCAGGCAATTTGTGCCTCTTCCAAGGGTTTGGTTTGGGGTTGTTTTTCTTTGTTTGTTTTGCTTTGTTTTTCTTTAAAGTAGCTGAAACAGGAGAGGTAGCTGAGACCAGCTATGAAGGAGGCTGTAGGGGCAGCAAATTGTTTTCATTTACTTATTATTTTTTTCCTTTTCTGTAGAATCCTGTAACCAAATACCCTAGAGAATTCTTTCCAGGGGAAGGGGGGGGGAGAAAAAAAGTTTAAAAGCTCCTTGTGTTGAAGCCTCAAGCTCACCCTCCTTGCAGAAGCAACTTAGAAACAGGGACTGGCCTCTTGTTAACCCTTCCTTGTGCTCGGCTGCTGGGGGCTGAGGGTTGGACTTGATGAGCTTGGAGGTCTTTTCCAACCTTTAATGATTCTAGGATTCTACAACTCTGCACATCACAAGGTACAGAATCACTGAATAGTTTGGGTTGGAAGAGACCTTAAAGTTCATCTGTTCCCACCCCCCTGCATGGGCAGGGACCCCTCCCACCAGCCCAGGTTGCTCCAAGCCCCATCCAACCTGCCCTTCAACACTGCCAGGGATGGGGCAGCCACAGCTTCCCTGGGCAACCTGGGCCAGGCTCTCACCACCCTCACAGGGAAGAATTTCCTCCTAATGTCCAACCTAAATCTCCCTGCTTAGAGTTTAAAAGCATTAACCCTCATCTTATCACTACATGCCCTAGTAAAATGTCTCTCTCCAGCTTTCCTGTAGGCTCCTTTCATGTTGGCTCCAGCATGTTGACATACTTTTTGATAAAAATTAACCATGACATTCATCCCTATGAGAGGGAACTTCATTTGAGAACTGGAGATGATATGACACACAAAAATCTAATGCTGTCTTGTAAATTACAGGTAAACTTCACCACAAGAGAAGCATGTTTGGTACACACTGAAGAGGAGAAGACTCTTTGCTCATGAATTCAGAGCCCTCAGGCACAGCACAAACCAGGGACAAAGACAAACCAGCAGAGCCCAGCAATCCCTCCCAACCAATCTTCCAGGTGCTGCAAATGGAACAAGAGGGAAGGGCTTCAAGCTGCAACAGGGCAGGTTCAGGCTGGACATTAGGAACAATTTTTTCACAGAAAGAGTGGTCAGACAGTGGAACAGGCTGCCCAGGGAGGTGGTAGAGTCACCATCCCTGGATGTGCTCAAGGGTCGTTTGGATGTGGTGTTGGTGGAGATGGTTTAGGGGAGAACTTTGTAGAGTGGGGGTGATGGTTGGGCTGGGTGATCCCAAGGGGCTTTTCCAACCTGAATGGTTCTATGATAGTGATAGGACAAGGGGTAACAGTTTTAAACTGAGAGAGGGGAGATTTCGGTTAGATATTAGGAAGAAATTCTTCACTCTCAGGGTGGTGAGGAACTGGAAGGGGTTGCCCAGGGAGGTTGTTGATGCCCCATCCCTGGAGGTTTTTAAGGCCAGGTTGGACGAGGTTTTGTGCAACCTGGTCTAGTGGTTCCCTGCTCATGGCAGGGGGGGTTGAAACTTGATGATCTTTAAGGTCCCTTCCAACCTTAATGACTCTCTGATTCCACGTTTCCACCACGAATGCCCACAGCCCCATGGCCAAGGAGCTGCAGCAATTCCCAACCAAACCCTTCCTGCTCCTAAAAGCAGCCAAATAAAGGGCTGAGCTGGGTTGGCCAAGCAGGTGGGAAGACAGGGAGGCAGCCAAGCTGCTGGGCTCACTTCTCCATCCCCCCCGGGGAAGGCAGGGACCTGTCAGAGGTGCCTGGGCTGGGTGGGTGGATGGGTTAGGTCCTTACCGTGGCATCTTCCCCGGCGCAGTGGCTGATCACTCGGTGCCCCCCCGGGTGCCTGTTGGCCCACTTGGTGATGTTGTAAACCTCGCGCTCTATCA